CCTCCCAACTTATTTTCAATTTTCATCATGCACTGTAATTTTGTTTTAATAACCCCACAATACATTACTGAAGTGTTAATAACTCTATAATACATTATTAAAGTGTTATTTACCATGAATATTTCTTTACATTTACTCATATATTTATACTTACTCATATATGAGCTAACTATTATTCTTTTATTTCAGAATTCTTTCTGAGCTCATTTTCCTTGTATCTGAAGTATATCCTTTAAAAACTTTTCAGGTAGGATCTGTCAGTAGCAAACTCAGTTTTGTGTCAGAAAATAGCTTCGTTTTACCCTAGTTTTGAAGGAATTTTTTAAATTGAATGTACATGTAAAAGTTGTTTTTTCTCAGCAATATGGAAGATGTTATTTCATGGTCTTCTGGAATCCACTATTGCCACTGGAAAGTCTGTGTTGTTATTCTAATTATCATAAAATTTTAGGTAGTCTATCTTTTCTGACTGCCATAAAGTCTCGTTGTCTTTGCTTTTCTATGGTTCCATGATATGTCTAAATGTGAATATTTTTGTATTTATTTTACTTTAGACAGGTTGACTTCCTGAATCTGAGAACTGGTGTCTTTCAGCAGTATGGGAACATTTTCAGTCATTTCTACTCAAATATTGCTTCTGCTTAATCCTCCTTCTATCGTCACCATTTGGAATTCTAAGATATTAGAACCTCCTTCTCATTTCTACATGCCTCTCAACCTCTTTCTTTCATATTTTTTTCTTTGTCTTCCTGGGTGATTTTGAATAATTTCTTCAGCACTATTTTCCTACTTAGTTTATCCTTTAATATCCATCTAGCTGTTTAATCCCTCCACTAAGCTTTTAATTTCCATTTTTATGTTAGTCATGTTTGAAATTCTATATTTATCCTAATATGACTGGTCTTTTTATAGTCTCCTGATTCTTACTCATATTTCAATCTCTTTTAAAAGTTATTAAATATACAACTTATATCCTATATCTGATACATTTAATGCTTGAAAACTTTGTAGATCAAATTTGGCTGTCCAATGCTTTTGCTGGTGTTTGCCTTTGGTTCTTTTTCCATTGTCTGCTTTATGATTTAAAAAAAAAAAAGAAAACACCTTGAAATAACATTCCTTGGAACTCTAGCTAGGAGAAATTTTGTGGCCTGGGTCTTTCTCAGAAAGGATTTGCATACACTTTTACAGATGCCTAAAAACTTCCAACAACTTTAAGCTAAATTTTCCTCTTGAGATTCTCTGGACCCGAAGTATTTTGATTTTAGATGATGGGCGCAAGGGAGGGGCTCACAGAGGAGAAATTTTCTTTTCTTCCTGGCCCAAGATTGAGACAGGCAATCTTCACTCTAATGATGAAAATGCGGGTGGGAGTAGTTCTAGCCTGTCTTTATGTTCAGATAATCAGCCTTTGCAGTCCCTGCTTTATGGGAGATAAGGGGCAGGGGTTGTTTTATTAGTCTCTTAATGTTGGTTAAGCCTTGTGCTTTGTCGTTCAGTCATGTCTGACTCTTTGCAACCCCAGGGACTGTCGCCTGCCAGGCGCCTCTGTCCATGGGGATTTTCCAGGAAAGAAGACTGGAGTGGGTTGCCATGCCCTCCTCCAGCTTAAGCCTCAGTCTTTGTGAAGCCTCAGTCTTTGTGTCCTGTCCTCTGTATACTCCATGAAACTGGGATATCACAAGCTTCAAGTTACCAGGTTCTTCTGATATGATGGACTCAAGCTTCCTCTGGTTTCTACTTTCACTTAGGTTTTGGTGTTTGCATTGATTTCCTTGGGTTGTTGTAACAAAGCATGGCCAACTGAATTATCTAAAACTACTGAAATGTACTCTCTTATAGTTCTGAAGGCTAAAAGTCTGAAATCGAGTATTGGTAGGCAATGCTCTCCCTAAAGTTCTAGGGGAGGATCCTTCCTTTCTTTGGCTAGCTTCTGGTAGCCGCAGCATTCAGTGGCTTGTGGCATCATAACTCCAATCTCTGTCTCCATCTTCACATGGTCATCTTCCCTCTGTGTCTGGGTCCAAAGTCTCCTTCTTTTATAAGGACACCAGTCATATTGGAGTAAGGCCCGCCCTGACCCAGTATGACCTCATCTTAACCTGATTACATCTGTGAAGGTGCTATTTCCAAATATGATCATATTCACAGGTACAGAGGGTTAGAATTTGAACATGTTCTAAAGGAGATTCAATTCAACACATAACAGTTCCTAGCCACTTCTTAATTCCTTGCCAGCTCCTGAATTCTTTCATATATATTCTAGTATTTTATAGCCATCATCAGTACAATCTTTCTGTCTTCTATTCAATGTCAGCTCTTATTTCTCACTCTTTTCATTCTGCTTGCCCATAGCAGTTCCCTTCTTTTTTCCCACTGAGTTGTGGACTTAGAAATTGGGGAAAACATGGCTTGTTAGAATTGAGTGCAAAATAAGAATAAGGTTGTAAATGAGGACTCTGTAGACACAATTGTGTAAAGTAGAAGAAAATTACTGCATGGACACTGTAATACTCTTTGGGGAATGCACAAAGAACATTTATTCCTAGATCACTGTGGTATATCTAGCTAGGCTTTTGAATCATAAAGACCTCAGGGTGAATCTTTTCTCTACCTCTTATAAGTCATAAGACTTTGAGAACATATTATGTAAGCTCTTCATTTCACAACTTCCCCATCTGAAAAAGGGGGTATTATGATAACAGCTACTTTTTAGAGTGCTTTGTAGATGGATGATATAAGTAAAGTGCCAGAGAAAGTATTGAAGAATTGTGCAAACGACTGTTTCTGTGTGCCAGAGGGGTAAGGACTTTGAATCAGTTGCCTCTGAATAAGAGAGGGGAGGAAAGCAATGTCTCTAACTTTTTTTTTTTAACCACACGGCATGTGAGATCCTAGTTCTATGACCAAGGATTGAACCGAAGTTAATTCAAATTAACTAGCTTCTGTCCTCAGCCCTGCCAGCCAACAAGTTACTTGGTACCTGCTTTAAAAAACCACCTTTCCTTCAACTCCATGACACTTCACCTCCGTCAAACAGGAGGGAACAGACAGGAAAAAAAAAAGCCAGGCAACATTTTGTATTGTATTTTACACCCCCAGCACAAAACCCCCAAATTTTAAACAAGTATTTGAAAGCCTCACCCAGGCCCACACTCCAGAACAGCTTTATATTAATAATCTAGGCAGGGAAAAGCCAGAAATCTCCCACCACTCCGTGATTGACTCACATATATGTTGGAGGCAGAGTTCACAAATCTAATTCCTTTCTCTATTCCCGGACATTTTTACCCAGAAAGCCTAAGTGACTAGAGGCGGTTCTGCTTGCTCAGCCAATTCCCGGCAGCAGCTTCTAGTGAAAAAAATATTATGTTTGGGGGCGAGCATCTATCCAGGAGTGTGCGGAAATGAGATGGTGAGGACGCAAATGGTGAATAAATGACCAGTGTACGGACAGCAGAGGAATGAGGGCGATTATGCAGGCTCTGTCCTCTATGAATACATTAGCTCCCCAATGAACCCATGTATCTTGACTGCTTCCAAAGCAATTTCTTTGGGTTTCAGTGAATACAGGTGTCTAGAAGTATTCTCTAAGCTTGGCTTCAGACAAGCCGCTCCAGCCTCCAGAACTTAAAGCCCTAGCATTAAGTCTGGGAGACCAGTCAGGCCGATGCAGCCTGCCAGGCCATTGTAGTTGCTGTGAGATGCTCATTGGAGATGCCCAGCCTCCTGTCATGAAAGGGCGAGGGCTGTCCAGTGCCAGCTGACTGCCCAGAGGGTAGTGGGGATGGCTGAGGAGGGTTATCCAGGCTGGAGTCCTTGAGTGGAAACTGGGGATCAGGAGCAGGAGATGGCCAGATACAGACACCGAGGTCAAAGGGGCAAGAGTGGGGTTGCTGGTGGGAACCAGGCAGATGCCAGGTGGCCTGCACGGAGGGTTGGCAGTGAGGGGGAACAGCTCAGACGACGGCCATGAACACAGCAGGTATGAGGGCTGGCCAGGGACTGGCAAGCCTGTAATGCGTGTGTGCCACCTGCTTAAAGATCCCCAAGGAGAGGACAGTGGCACCACAGTGGGAACAAGTCCAGCTTACACGCTGCTTTTTTCAGGAGGAGAGAACCACAACCTGGACAGAGCTGTGGTCTTCCCTTTCTAGGGCAAGGTCCTTCCTTGTATCTCTGATCACATTTCTGTCATCTGCCAAGGGATCGAATGTGTCTCTCAGCCATGGGGAAGGGTTCCTTTTAGAGTTACCTTTTCATAGTTACCTTTTCAGAGAAAAGGGGTCAGTGCCTTGGAAACGTTCCTATATGATGAAAAAATAAATGGTGCCAAGTGTGGATTCACACCACACATTGACAGCTGCAAAGGGCCCTGTACTTTGGGGCGGGATGGTGGATATCTCTGGAGAGTGATGTGAGGCATGTACCTGCCTGAGGGTCTGACCACAATGTGGGGGGTCAGGAACCTGCATGCAGTGAGCCTGGCTGTGCTTTGCTATTTATACTCCATGAGTTTATTTCTCTGTGGCACTCTCTTGACAAAGTCTTTAGGAAGGTTCTGTGGGCCACTGTGGAGGAGATGGAGAATAACAGAGAAACCCCGAGGGGATGTGACAGTGAAAAGAAGAGACTCTGAGGGTCCCTCCTGTTTACCTCTCTATTCCTGGAGCTCCCTTTTGCTCACTCCCTGAGAAACCTGCATTTGGTTTCAACACAGAGGTTTATTTCCTTGATTTGGGAGCTCAACTCACTCATGTCCCCATCCCAGCCAAAACAGTTTCTGATGTTCTTTTCTTCCTGAAAATTCTATAGGTCCCAACCTGTGTCTATACTCCATCCCCAGCAGCCCTGATCACATATGCATGGGCCAAGGTTAGGGACTGGACGTTCAGTATCAGTCCCCCACCGTCAACCCTGAGCCAAATTTCTGCACCCCCTGGACTCATTCACCCATTGGGGAGCTGAGCCAAGCCTTCCTGGTTAGAAACCCTGCTCACCCTGATCCCGAGCTCGACATTTTCCCCTCCGTAGACCTCCATGCCTTCGTCCAGCAAGCCAATCTCCTGGAAGTACTGCCGGTCCACAATGAAGCAGCCAATGAGGGCAGGGCTCCTGCAGGGCATGGAGAGATGGTGGGCAGTTAGCAGAGGGGCCGTCTCCTGGGGGTCAACAGAGCAGGAAGAGCAATGCTGACTTCCTGCCAGGAGGGTCTGGCCTTCTCCCTTCCTTTGCTGCCAAAACTAGTGTGAGCCTCGTTCTCTGAGTGGCCCTCCCAGGTCCTCCTCACCAGCTACTCCAGGGAGCCTATTCCACGAGGACAGAGGCAGACAGCTCCTGTCCTGCGACCAGCCGTCATTTCTGGTGGTGCCTGCCTGTGTGTCAACCAGAGAAGCAACGCTCAGTCTGCCAGTCTCGACCGCACGTCTGTATCTCTGGCTGTCCTGAGCCCTGCATTTTGAACCACATAGCCAGTCTCTGTTGCTACCTGTTTACTCACAACGACTTTCCCACCCTTCACCTTGGTCCCTATAGAGAGATGAGCTGGGGCTTTGGATAGCACAGTAAATCATTTGGATTTTATCTGTGGATAAAGGAATGTCAACGAAGAATTTTAAGTAGACAGTGGTAATAAGCAGATCTGTATTTGTAAAAAGAATACTTTGGCAGCTGTGGGGTGATCGATTGGAGGAGACTGGGTAGAAATCGAGGAATCCAGTTGGGAAGCTTATTGCTATATCCAGGTGAGCAATGATGAAGACCTGGGCTGGAGTACCAGGAATGGAGATAGGGATTGTTTAAAGACATATATTGAGGTAAAATCAGCAGCATTTGGAGACAGATGAACTCTGAGGGTGAGAAGGAGGAATCTGGATGCCAGCTGGCCTTCTGCTTGGGTGATGATGGGGTGAAAGCCGTTGATAGGTGTATGGAGAAGAAGCTGGTTTTAGAAGGAAGAGGGATTCCATGCTGGGAAAACTGATCTTAAGGTGCCTGTGGGTCACCAGGGGGAGATATCCAACAGGCAGGGCCTAGGTGGCTGGTCTGGGTGGGAATTCAGCAGGGGTCTTAGGCTGGAGCAACGCGCCAACAGCTGGCGAGGCCAGGAACTGAAAGGCCTTTCCTAGTAAGCGTGATTGCGGGGCTCATGGCTGTGTACAGACACAGACTGTCACAAGGAGATTTACATTAGGTGAATCAGCAAGAGGCTGAGTGGGCTGCTTCTCTGCTGAGAGCATCATCTTACACAAATAACATTAAATTGTTCCATTGCACACTGCTACCACTTCTAGCCCCTGTGTAGCATCTTATCAGCCGGTGGCTGAGGAACTGGGGGGGAAGAGAAAGAAAAGGAGAAATGAAGAATACTCAGTGATGAGAAAACTGTCACTCAAATGCAAATGGACTCATATTTTAAATTGGAAACTCATCAAGGTGGAGAAACAGCTATTTTGCAAGCCATTTCTTTGGAGAATGCTGATGTAGGAGGCTGCTTGGGGAGAGACTGGTGCCTTGGGGTCCCTGCCCCTCCTGCTTTCAAATTCAGTCAATCAGTTCATTCACTCAGTCATGTCCAACTCTTTGTGATCCCATGGACTGCAGGGGTCTTAGGCTGGCCTCCCTGTCCATCACCAATTCCTGGAGTTTACTCAAACTTATGTCCATTGAGTCAGTGATGCCATCCAACCATCTCATCCTCTATTGTTCCCTTCTCAAATTACAGCCTTCTATTCTGAAAGGCCTCAGCTTCTGCATGCAGGCATCCAGGGCAGTCAGTACACCCCAATCCATTGCTCCTTTAGGCTGAGTTCTGGTTGGGGATGCTTGACCTGCCCTTAGAGGTAAGTGCTAGGGGAAGGGTTTCCCATCCTGGCTGTGCATCTCTGAAAGAAGTTCCCTAGCCTCCCTGAGCCTCTGATTCCATATCTATCAAATAGAATCAACTATAACCTCACAAGGATTAAATTAAATAATGTAAAGCACTTGAAAACCTCTGGGACATAACTGGAACTCAAAAGATCATTTTTAAAAGATGCACTTGCACATTGAAGAAGCCCAGAGAATCCCCTCTCTAAGTGCACAGTGATTTTAAAACATCGACCCTGAAGAGTTAACTCTCAGCATTTTCCTTGATGTTACTGAAGTGTTGAGCAGGGCAGGGCATTCCAGGATACAAAGGAGGGAGCCTTCCCCTCATGGCCAGGCCCAGTCAAAGCAAGAACAGAATCTAAAATAGTTTCTCTGGGAAAAGCACAGGCATCCTCAGTCTATTACTTATTAACTGGCTAGGGTATTAAGTGGACCCACTCAGCCTGAAAGTGTTATTGATTTATATCTTGCCTCATTCCCAAAAGGGTTAGAAATAGTTTATAATAAAAAGTAAAATACTATGTAAAAAAAAAAAAAAGATAAATGTCTGAAAAGCTAAAATTTCACCCCAAGTTAGGGATCAGTTAGAATGCATGAGTCTTCTTCAAGGTTCTTAAAGTAGACCCACAAAGTTGACCCTAAACTTCTTGGTGGCCAAAGAGAAACACACATGGCCTTAGAAATAAGATTCGGAGTTCCCATGTGGAAATGTTATACTAATTTCTTAGGAATAGAAAACTTTCAGTTTGAAAGAAATTTCTCATGTCAGTCCTCTTAAAGAGGTCACTTTGAGATGTAGTGAACACCAGTCTCAAAGCCATCCCTTTAGAACTCAATAGAAGATCTCTCTGGGCTCTGTTTACAGCTTACATCATGTGTGGGCAAAGCATTAAAGTATAGCTCTGAGGAATAGGAGCCAAGGTGGGCATGATACATGTGTATAACCCACAGCTTGCTGTGAGGCATCTTCATCTTCCTATGGAGTATAAAACCAAGAATGTTCTTTCAAAGTCTTCCATTAATATAATTTAAAGTTAAATTTTTTAAATTAAGTTTTGTACTGGAGTATAGCTGATACACAATGTTGCATTAGTTTCTGTTCTACAGCCAAGTCAGTCAGTTATATATACTTATATACCCACTTTTTTAGGTTCTGTTACCATACAGGTCATTACAGAGTACTGAATGGAGTTCCCTGTGCTATGTGTGCATGCATGCTCAGCCACTTCAGTCGTGTCCGATTCTCTGTGACTCCATGGACTCCTTTGTCCACAGTACTCTCCAGGTAAGAATACTGGAGTTGATTGCCAGGCCCTCCTCCAAGGGATCTTCCCCACCCAGGGATTGAACAAGCATCTCTCATGTGTCCTGATTGTCAAGTGGGTTCTGCACCACTAGCGCCACCTGGGAAGCCCTCCTTGTGCTATACACAGGTTCTTATTAATTACCTACTTTATATATAGTAGTGTGTTTATGTGAGTCCCAATCTCTCAACTTATCCCTCCCTCCTCCTTCTTGTTTCAGTTAAGTTTTTGATAAAGATTAGGTGATGGAATATTTGAGGTTCAGATGAAATTCTCTGTCAAGAACCTAGAATGCAGGTTTAATGATTAAGTCCAGGCTGATACATTTAGAGATGAGGGGAGCAGAAGCAGCTAGTACCGGTGCAGACTTGGGCAAGAACGCTCGATGTGTGATGGTCTATTTCCCACCAATAGCAGTCAACAGACCTGGGGGTAGAATTCAGCCACACCAGTTCAGTGCCTGGGAGGATGAAAGTTAGGCGTGGAATCTAGCTGATCTGGGTTTGGATCCTGTCTTCACTGGCTGGAGCCTTTGGCAGGGCCATTCCCCTTTGTCAGTCTCTCTTTCCTTATTTTGTAAAAGGGGAATGACACAGTGAGCTGTCCCCAGGTTATGACAAAGAGCAGATGAGACCACATGTGTAAGACGCCCTTGCACACGGTGGCCTCTCAGCAAACATTTATTAATAACACAGAAGTGTGTCACAGGCCTAACAGATAGGTGACAGAGACAATGCAGGAAAGATAGGTGGAGTTCTCTTCCATCTTGTTTTAAATATGAATATGGCTTTTTTCTTCTGGCAAGGGAAAATGCAATCCTAGATAATAATCACCCATTTTCAATTATATTTTTCATAATCTTTCTCCCTCACAAAATACAAAGCAACATCAGTTTCTAATCTCCTCTTTCATTCCAGGAACTGTCCCCTAGGCCACCTTCTGATGCCATCTGTGTATTTAATGGCCAGGGCTTTGCAGGGAGCATAAAGGCACCTGGTCAGTGATTAACCAGGTAGAAATAAAGGCTGGTATGGCTGGCTTTTTCAGGAGTCCTGACCCATAAGGTAAAGGCCACATAGAGGAGTCACTTGAGTGTCTCTAAAGGCAGCAGCAAAGACAGAGTTTGGGATCTTAGGATGGCAGTTTGAAGCCACTTTGGACTGAGTGCTGCAGGATAAGTTCAAACATCAGCCAGGCATACGAGTGTCATGGGGTGAGCCAGCCCTGTTGCCTGGGGCTGCCCCCTCCCTGTTCTCCTTCCTTCCGGACCCTCTGAGCCTCCTCTGTGTCCATGAACTCACTCTGCCTCTGTGAATACGAGTGTCCTTGCTCCAATCTTGCAATCTCCTACTTTCCCGTGAAAACAAGTGTGAATATTACACTCTCTATAAAGGAGCCCACCCCCATACTTCCCATCAGCATAGGGAATAATTTGTTATTCCAATTATTTTGTCTGTCTTCCCTATATTCTAGGCTTTTGAGGGCAGAAACCAAGTGGTGATCGTTATAGATCCCCAGCACACAGCACAGTAGCTGGCACCTAGCAGGTGTCCCACAGCAATGTGTTGAAATGAGTAACTTTTAGTCTTTGAATGGGTTCTGATGCCACAGCGTTTTTAAAAGGGATCATCAGTATGTATACCTATGGGTGATTCATGTTGATATATGGCAGAAACCAACACAATATTGTAAAGCAATTATACTCCAGTTAAAAATAAATAAATTTAAATTTTTTAAAAAGAGATCACAGAGGCTGTAAGCTGTGACTGAAGGTCATTTCTCTCCACCACCCCATCGTGCCCCATAATGGGGCTGGAGCTTGGGGAACGAGGGTCAGGCTGGGCAGGGAGCCCTTGTCTGGAAGTCAACACAGCGAGACTCATCAGATAAGAATACATTACCTGATCGGGGCCGTGGAGTTCTCCAGCTTCCACCAGGCCTTGGGGGGGTTGAGGTAGCGGCACCACAGCTCCCAGTCAAAGCCCTGGGCCGCCAGTGGGTACTCTTCTATCTCAAAGTTGTCGTATTTGATGTTGTCAAAGGATGGGGAGATGATCCGTTTCCGGTTCTCCTTAATGCGGGTGAGCACGGGTTCAGCCCTGGGCAAGGAGGAGGGGGAGGGAGATTGGCACCTTCTATAGCTCCTTCCCCCGCAGAAGGAGGAAGGGACTGCTGGCTCTCTCCTCCTGCTCTGCCTCCCACCCCCACACTGCTGGGTTACATGAGGCTGGACTCCTCATTAAGCGTGAAGCAGGCCGAGCGGACAGATTCTTAGTACCTTAGATCCTGATGTCTGCTTGGTTTCCTTTACTCCATTAGAGGAAAAAAACAGAAACCAAGACTCAAGAAAAAAGAAAGAAACAGTTCTGAGGTTCCACGGGAAGCTTTCAACTTGGGCTTTGATTTTGCTAAAATTCAGCGTGTCACCCAGGAGGAAAAAGCAGATGAGGACGGCAGACACACGGAGGTGAGAACAAAACTGTCTCCACCCATCGTGTGATGCTTCTTCAGTCTTTCCAGGCATGCCACCCCCACCCCACGCATCCCCACTGCCCAAGCAGAGGTGGTGGTGGGGTTACGCTTCCACAGAGTCCAGAGCCCCTGTGGGTACCAGGCGAATAAAATGTTTGCAGACAGGAATGATAAGCTTCTCATTAATAATGCATTTGTTGCATAATTGTTTATTCAAATCTGCTTGAAATAGTAAGTGTCCCTCTCTTCTCCTGGCCATAAATCTAATGAAAATGCTTTTTAAACAGTCACACATGAAAAGCAGGAACTTCAGCTATAAAAAAATGACTGCATTGCAGCCTTAATTCCGACCCGTTATGTCAAAGTATGCTCTGTGCATGCCTGCTGTTCCCTCCTGCCAGAGGGCCCTCCTCACTCTACTCTGGGGAGGCAAAGGGTGATGCTCAGAGTTCAAGAGGGACAGCAGACCCCAGTGCCACGAGGCATAGTGGCTAAGAAGGTGGTACACTCGGCCATCCCCAGCACCCGGGTCACCCCACGCCCAAGCTCTCTGCAAAGCCAACCCCAGTGGACCACACAGCATGCCCTTTGCCCTGCCGGGATGTTGGCATCAGATGCCCTGTCTCTGCTTGGCTGAAGCCACTGAGGCCTTGCCCCACCCAGTACCCGAGCAGCCCTGGTCAGAGAAAGAAAGGTGTTCTAAGACCTAGTTTTACCAGTGGAAGGAATCTGAGATTTTGTGCTACCTCTGATCTAGAATCTGAAGGAAGCCCAGGGTACTTAGCTCCCTTTGCTCTCTTGGTCTTGGCCCTGTCTGTGGGGCTGGGCTTTAACTCACATCTGGTCCAGCTCCCCTTTCCCAGGGGTCACAGCCTGGCCCTTAGTTGGGATGGAACTCTTACTTTGCTCCGGGCATTTACTCACGTCTCCTAGAGGACCACGTTGGCCCTTATGCCACCAACCCTTCAGACACTGTGTGTTGACCTATTGATCCCTGACCCTCTCCCACCCTGAAGGGCCATCCCGGTGTCCTGGTCACCCGCACACTCAGATGCTGACTCCTTTCCCCCATCAGGACTGAGATCCCAGTGGGCTTTGCACCCTGGACCACACTGGGACTCATCCTCCTCAGCTCCCGATGGGCACTTACCAGCCCACATTGAATTCCACGTGGGCATCAAAGAGCGCCACTACAGGGGCAGTGGCGGCCCTCCAGCCGCTGACCCTGGAGCGGATGAGGCCTTCCTGCTTGCTGTGCCTCACGACCTTGATGAAGCCTGGCTTCTGGCCATTCACCTTGTCCACATACTCTGTCAACTTCTCCTTCAGCTCCTCTGTGAGGGAGAAAATGCAGTGTTAGCATGAAGACGTTCACCCTTCCAGGGTAAGCTGACCCCCAGAGAGAGGCAGGAGGGGACAGTCCCCTCCCCAGGTCTTCCTTGGCATTCCCCAGGATGGCCAGCACAGCTCAGCTTTGAGGAGAAAAACAGATGAAAACAGTATTTATTATGCGCAGCAACACAAAGAGGGTCACCTGCTTCACACACATGGTGAATTTAACCTTCACAACAGGCCCTTGGGAAAATGCAGCTCCAAAGGTTGGTCAGTTTGTCCAACCCCCCGAAGTTATGAGTGGGAGTTCAGTTCAAGCCAGGTGTAATGACCTCAAAAGCCCCATTCTTTCTCATCTGTTCAGGGTCTTCCTTCTTCCCCAGTGCTCTCCATCAGTCCTTTCCAATCCCCAGAGAAAGCTCCACGTGCAAAGATCATAGCTCGGGACCCAGTCCTTGCCTGGAACTCCATCTTTCCAGGAAGTGGATGATCAAGTGGCTGGCATCGATTTGTTGTTGGGTGTCCCTCGGCCTGGCTAAACATCCAATTCCCCTGCATCTTCATAACTGCATATGACCCCGCAGCAGCAGAACAGGGCAGCACGTTCATTGTGCTTTCCATAGCAGCTCAGGCAGCACTCTATGACACCCCACTCCTCCCAGACAGTGGCCTAAGTGGGCCGCATTCACCCACTTCCAACCGCAGCACCTCCCCAGGACTTGATTTCCAATGGCCCCTCCTCCCATCTCTCCAGCCTGCCTGCACCCAGGCTCCATGTCAGACCCGGGTGGGCTGAGCCCCACTGTCCCTTGGTGCCCAGTCTTGGGCCTTGCTGGACAGGTGGCCCGCCAGGAGTGAGGAGAGGGCAGGAGGCAGCAGGCACAGCACCTGGCACACGGTAGGCGCACCTCCTGGCAGGAACACAGGGTCGCAGAAAGAGGACAGCACTTGGAGTCAGCAGCATAGCATTTTAATTCTATTTTCCATGGGATCAGCCTTGTGACCTGTTATGAACCAGTGCTTGTTGTCCCTGGGGATGTTCAGATCGAGTGAATGTACTTTGCACATGGGAAGGACATGAATGAGGGGGTGAGGATTAGAGGGCAGACTATTATGGTTTGAATTATTTCTCCCCAAAGGCTTGGGTCTAACCCCAGACTTCAGAACACAACCTTATTTGGAAATAGAATCTTTACAGATTTAATCAAGTTAAGACAGGTCATTAGGTCCTAATTCAATAGGATTAGTGTCCTTATATTAATAAAGGGGGGAAATTTGGACACAGAGATAGACTATACAGAAGGAAGACAGGGTGGAGAGATGCAGAGATGGCCATCTAGCAGCCAAGGAACATCTGAGGGTACCAGAAGCTGGGGAGGAGGCCTGGAACAGATCCCTCCCATCTTTATAGGGAGCACCTTGATTTTGGACTTCTAGCCTCCAGAACAGTGAGACAATACATTTATTTTGTCACCCAGTCTGGGATGCTTTGTACTCTGCAGGCCCAGGGAACAGATACGGTTGTTATGAGGATTAAATGGGAGTGACACTTGTGAAAAGTGCATAGCACTTTCTCTCCTGTTCACAGTTTCCATCATAGTGGAAGTTATAAAAGCTGGGGGAACTGACTGTCCCTGGAAATCAAGGCATCCATCTCTGGCTGACAAAGCCCTCTTCACATGCTCTGGTCCAGGGCCACTTCTTCCTGTTCTGGCCTGCCCCCAGCTCTGAAGTCTGCAAGCAGCAAGGCCACGGGAGCCAGATAGGAGATACAGATGTGTGCTGTGGCCTCATACCCAGGAAAACAACAGAGCACGATGGCTACTGCTGGACTTGGTAGCAGGTATTGGTTTCAAGTCTTTTACCCATGATGTTGGCCAAACAAAAGGCTGGGTAAGATGTGGCCCCTAGGCTGCTTTGTGCACCACTGCTTGAGTTACCACTAAGGAGATGAGAAAACTGAATCTGAGGCAAACAAGCTGAGAGGGAGGCAGACTTTTGTGCTAGACAACTACTCCCTTGCTCTGTGATCTTGGTCAAGTTCCTGGGAATCCCAAGACCTCAGAGTTAGGACTTGGAAGTTCATTTTGAACCAATTACCCATCTAAGGTTTGAATCCCCTCTGTGGATCCAGATGAGTGATCATCCATCCCCTACAATGACAGAGAACCCCATACAATCTATTCCAGGTATTAGATTTTTTTTTCCCCTTTTACTCTTTAAATGCCACAGTTCCTCAACTTTCCACTCATTTGGGGACCACTGAGGGCAGATTAAGTCCCTCTTCCACATGGCAACCTTTTAGAGCTGAAGACCATCCTTAAGTCCTTGCTGTGAATTTCTTTAGGTCAAATGTCTTTAATTCCTCCTTGTATTTCCTCATCTCTTGTAAGTTCAAGTTCTTTTATCATGCTGAACTTCTCCTAAAAATATAAGTTTTTCTCTAATACAAAGCTAGAATTGGCCTATTTTTTTCTGGAGCAAACTGAGCTGTATAGACTAGAGGGAACTAATCAGCTCCCTGAATCTAGAATTGAGGTACCCATTAATATCATCATAGCTTAAGGTCACATTAACTCTGCCTACTTTTGACACAAATTGACCTTACTAGAAACATATACTTAGATTCTCTTCATGTGATGCTGCTGAGTCAGGCCTCCTCCATCCCATCTCTTCATGGATGCAGGTGTGAGTGTATGGAGGCAGGTGTGAGTGTATGGAGGCAGGTGTGAGTGTATGGAGGCAGATGTGAGTGTATGGATGCAGGTGTGAGTGTATGGATGCAGGTGTGAGTGTATGGATGCAGGTGTGAGTGGATGCACACATGTATGCTTGTGTATGTGTGTATGTGTACTCCAGTGCTCCAAGTCAAAACAAGGATCTTTCATTTACACCCCTTTAATTCAATCTTTTCAAAGACTTACAGCACTTCTCTGAAGTCAGAATGTTTTTTACCCTTGATTCTGTTATCCAATGCTTTGTTATCTAGCTCTACCAGCTTTCCAGCTTCTGCAAAAGTGATGAGCATGTGGCTTTTGTTGTTGTTCAACTCATCCTTTCAAACAGTGTGATCCTTGTCTGGGGCTAGGCTCAGTGGGGGCTGTCAGGTATTCTCATTCAGCCCAGAGAAAATTCAGCTGACTTTTGGGTCACATCAACAGGCTGTGCAGCTCACTCTAGCCAATAAGAAAATGACCCTGTGCTCTCCCACTGACTGGGGAAGCCTGGGGATGCGGCTGTCTCAGTAACGGCAGGAAGCCATTGGTACAGTGGCATAGGTCAGTGTACCCCTTACACATTTACAAGTATTCAAGCATGGTTGCCAGGAGGCCTCTTAAAATACGTACTGTTTCATCATTTCAAAGGTCCACTCTTCATGGATCCAAAAAGGATCTTCATAGATCTTACATAGAGCTCACAAAGCCTGATGTTTGGACTTCTGATGGTGGTCGTTAAGTGGTGAGTGCACACAACTTGGAATGAGACTGGGCTAGCACCAAAGGACCCCTCTCCCTGCCCCTAGGGAGGATTGATCCCTGGTCTCCTTCCCCACTCTCAGGTGAGGACACTGCCTGTGGGGACCACTGTTCCTGAGGTGTTGCTGGGACAGGGCTGTCTGTGGTCATTGCCACCAAGTGATGTGCCACGAATCCCGCCTCTCTGAATTCTCATCCTGGGCGGCCGCTTTGCACACTGATTCTCAGCCGACCCTGGGACAACAGAACGCAGCCAGAGGGTCCCTCTGAAAAGTCCAGGCCTAGGCCAGGCCTGCAGCTTTTTCTGCCTTTGCTCACTTGCTGCCCTAAGTAAGGCAGCTGGCCTCCTAGAGGATGAGCGGCCCAGGGAATCCCAGTCATTTAGGTCATCTCACTGAGGCCCTACAGGTGTGAGTGAGGCCATCTTTTTTTTTTTTTTTTGCCATGTTGTGCAGCATGTGGGATCTTAATTTCCTAACCAGAGATCAAACCTGTTCCCCCTGAAGTGGAAGCACCAAGTCTTAACCACAGGACTGCTAGGGAAGCCCATCCAGGGATATTTTATTTATTTTAAGATTTTTTTTTAAAATGTGGACCATTTTTTTAAAAGTCTTTATTGAATTTGCTACAATATTGCTTCTGTTTTATGTTTTGGTTTTTTTGGCCCTGAGGCATGTGGGATCTCATCTTCCTAACTAGGATCACACCTACACCTCCTGCACTGGAAGATGAAGTCTTACCATTGGACTTCCCAGGAAGTCACATGTATGGCCATCCTGGATCCTTCAACCACCAGTAGATCGCAGTGACATCAGTGATCCTAGCTGACATCATTGAGCAGAGACAAGCTGGGCTTATTACAGAATCATGAGGCAGTGAATGGTTGCTGTTTTAAGCCATGATCTTTTGGGGTGGTTTCCTATATACAAAAACTAATAAAATGGGATCTATTGTCTTGGAACAGTGCTGGGTTTAAAATAAGATTGTGAATTCCTGATGCACAGGAAATGAAACCAGACACAGAAGAGCCAGCTTAGAAGGTGGCAGCAAGAGATGAGAAGGCTTTGATTCTTGTAGGAGTTGCCTGCTCCTTTGTCCCTCCGAGCTCTGCTAACTGTTAACCAGAATAAAGATTTCTGGTGGACCAGCCAGGAAAAAAGATTCTGTTCTGAGTCTGTTGTATCTCAAATATTAGCAATTGATTGGAAGAGAGGATTCCCTTAGCCCCCACCAAACAACTGCTATTAAGCAAATTTTTAAAGGCCTGAAATATCCTGGACAACACTGGTTCAGTCTTGGCAAAGTCCTTTTACTTAATTAGATTTTCATGTTTTCCTTTAAACTTTGCTAACTGCCAAAGCAAGAAAGAACAATATAAAAAACATTTTGACTTGTTCTAGAAAACTGTTGTGTAAGATATTGCCTATTTTATATATACATGGAATACCTCTCAGAACTTAGCTCAAAAAAACATATAAAGAACTTGAGGTTTTCTTTATACTTAAACACAAACACATAACCTGTGA